CCGGGGCCACCTGGCTCCTCCGCCGCTGCTGCTTCCCACCACTCCCCGCCTGCGTTCAGCGCCACGAACTCCGCAGACAACCCGGGTCTGATGCAGCTCAGCGAGGCCGGGCCCGCAGCAGCAGCGTCCGATCCGTCATTCTCTGAGCAGCGGGACTCCTCCATCACCTCCACCTCCTCCTCGGCTCCTCCTGCCGCCTCCTCATCCGCGCTCCCCGACCTGACCTTCTTTGCCGGGGACGCCTGCCTGTCACCCAGCCTGCAGAGCTCACTGGATAGTCCGGTGGATTTCTCCGAGGAGGACTTCGACCTGTTCACAAGCACACTGTGCACCATAGACCTGCAGCACCTCAACTTCTGAGGCCGGCTGCAACCTTTAAACATGAAGGGAAACTAAAAAGGAGTGAAGGAGTGGAGGGGCACATGCAGGCCTGTGGATGAACAATCGGGCGGAGGAGACGGCACTCGGCGAGGACTCTGTTGTTTAAAAAGCATAAAAGCTTCTCGGCAACATTCCTGAAACATTTCTGAATGAAAATTATGTTCTTTTAAAAATATATTTTTTCGTCTTCTTGCTGGTTTTACTTTGCGGCTGTAATGTAGTTTAAGAGAGATGCAGTTCATTTTATTTTTTTAATTTTAAACATCGAAGGGAAATTGTTTTTCCACGATCGAAACGTTGTGGATTTTTTCTCTCTCCCCTTTCCCAAATTTCAGGTATTTATTGCCTTTCTTGTTTTTGATCGTTTTTGTTAAAACCCTTATCAGTATGCGTGGATTTGTGTTCTCTAGTCCATTCTGGTGCAGCTTCATGGATCCTTAATAACTTCTCAGGAACTGTTCACGGAGTCTAGGTGCAGATAGCCGGACTGCTCTTAGAAAATCTGAACTGAAGAATGAATTTCATTCTCTCTCTGAACGAGACAAGACGAGAGAGGAGCCCTGCTGATGACCCGAGTTTTAGACCCTAGTTTATTTATTGAGATTCTTTAATAGTGAAAATCCAAATTATTTATTGTACATATATTTTCATAGTGGAATAATAATAATAAAAAACACACAAACATTTACGATGTGGCCCATGTTCTTTTGTTTGATAGCTATATGAATTTAAGGAGTGCTGAATATGGAATAATAATATTAAAACAAATGGTATGCTTTAAATACATTTTTATGCAAATAACATTAATAATACAGTGCAATTTTATAATAGCCTAAATATAAAACAAAGTGAGCATTTTATTAGTAGGATAATTTTGTATAACGATTTGGCTGCTGTTACTTGTAATAATGAAAATTATTTTATTTATTTCACAGTAGCCTATATATAATTTTTACAATACATTTATCTATTGCAATTAGCCTATAATTTCCAGGTTTGTTTTGTCCATAATTTTAAAGATACAATTTTTCATTATATAGGATAATAAAATATTGATATAATTTATAATATTTTCATCTCCTAAAATATATTTTAATTCTGGCTCCTTGTTTCAAGTTTAAATGCATGGCTCCTCCATCTAGTTTTCCCACCTTATTGAACATAAATATGTGGCCTGATATAGCCTGGTATGGCCCAGTGTGGTTCAGCTCATGTGTGTTTACACAGAGATAACCCCTGAGAAATGACTGAGAAAGAATGAGATATTTTCCAGAGCAGATAAAAAGAGGAGAAACAGTCTGAGGCCACAGCAGGATCATTGTTTTCCTCTGTTAGCTCAGCACTGGTAGCCCTCTGCCCCGAGTAGGAGCTAATGGTTAGCATAGCAGCTTTCACCATGTGAGAAAAGCAGAGTAACTACAATGTGGCCTTTTACTGAAAGTGTGTGAGAGCTAACCACAGTGTAGCACCACTCACCCTCTGTTTGTAGTGTGTGAGCACAGGCGTTAACTGTTGCTTGGCACTGCACATTCCCTCCCATTATCAAGCTAGAAGAGGACTGTGGAGTAAAGCCTGAGTTAGCATGGCTAGCTCCCTGCCATTAGTGTGTGTGGATATGTTGCTAACTAGCTGCTCCTCCTCCCACAGAGTCAAAATGGCGCTGAAGACAAAGCAGGATGTGAACAATGAGCAGTGGCAGCCATTACAGGATGACTGGCTCACTGTGACAGGCATGGCGTGTGTGTGTTTGTGTGTGTGTGTGTGTGTGTGGGAGCGATAGGGAGAGAGAGAGAGAGAGAGTGTGTGTGCCTGTAATAGGCAAAGAGAAAGAAATTACTTGTTTTTTTAGGCTACAGATTAAAGACAGGTTTATGGCAGATTGCTTTAGCCCATAATAATACTAATACTAATAATACTAATACTAATACTAATACTAATAATAATAATAATAATAATAATAATAATAATAATTCCTCTTATGATAAATATATTTAGACAATATCAAATTGTAAAAAAAAAATATATTTTCAAATATAATGATTAGGGCAAAATAGGAATAATGACAACGATCTAACAACAATATTTCATTTATTATATTGCAGTATTGTAGTCAATATAATGGCCTATTGCCCAATGCATGACTATAGTGAAACAACTTAAAGTCTGTAAAAATGAAACAATAACCCAGTTTAGAGTCCTAATCCACAGTTTGATAAACCCTACTGAGTGTCCAACTGCAGCTCCATCACCTTTCATAAGAAAAAACGTTTGCAGCTCAATCAATATTGCATTAAAGAAAAACACATACAAAACATTAAGAGTTCAAATCCATACAGAAGAGGCTAAAGTCCTGTTGGTCTGACTTTCTTTTTAACCACAAACACTTCTTTATCTGGGACTCACTTAAACATTACATTGCTTACTATTTCTATGAGATCCATAAACATGTAGCAAACCATGCAAGAGAATAGAAGAGACCCACTGATGGTACCTCTGACTGATTGCATACTAATACTGTTTGATCAGTGTAGTAAAGGCAAACTAACTCTCCGCAAAGGCAATGTCTTTCCCTTTGTGCAGTAATGATAAGACATACAAACTTCACTGAGACAAATTCAACGGAGGTCCATTCATGTGAGCACAAGTTTTAAACTGTAGCTGTAGTTCCCATGGGAACCAGCAGGCACAAAACGGGACAACAACCTGGGTTTCTCCCTACAAGAAACACCACCAGAAAATACATTCTTATGGCTCCTGAGCTCCATCAGCAACACCTCTGTTCTGCAGCAGGATGTTTTATATCATTTAATCTAAATATGTTATTAATTATATTATCCAAACAGTTTATGAAGTGTTTATTGAATATCATGCCACTGAGCAATATGTGTGATTTCAGTTCTCACCTAGTCTAGTCTTTTATCCCAAAATAGCGAAGATCACTTACTGCAATGATGCTGTAAATATCAAGAATATGCAACAAGTACAAGAGAAGCACATATTCTACAAGATAAAGCTTAATAATTCTACCACTACTATTCCTAATAATAATAGGCTACTTATTACTATAACAAACATTTGCAATGTTTTAGATACAGAAAAACGTGTCAATAAAATCTAAATCCAGTAAAAGACAATAAACATATATTCAAAATAAAAATGATATTTAAAGGAAATGTATTTAAGAAGTAGACATAAAAGCAAAGATCAGGCTAATTTAATTTCCTCAGGCAGGTCTGCTTAAGGGTCATGCAGCAAAGATGTGATTGCTTTATCTTCAATCTGGTCCTTCAGACCACAAACATGGCCAGTGGAAAGTTAGATTGTAACTAAAACTAACATGATGTTTTCCTTCTTTCTTGATCCGTCTGGTAGTAATGTTTTGTACTAACTGAACTATAATTTTGGTTGATTCAGGCACACAATGAAAAGATGTGACAATGGCACAAATAACAGTTTGCAGGTTCCTGAAAATTTTTTAAAAATTGTAGTCACATGCGCTGCCATATTTTTCTTGGTCATGTAGGGATAGTAGTTAATTTGCAGGGTAGTAAAAGTATCAAAAGAAAAAGTTAAAAATGAAAATCAATATTATGTCTGCATACAACATGAACAGGTGGCAACATGTAGACAGAAAACAGTAGTGGCCCCAGTATACAACCAAGGGGAACTCTACTGATAGAAGGCACCTTTGATGAACTTGAATTCCCAATGAAAGCAAAATGCCTATTTCAAACATATGGATTTAATACTGCCCCTAGAATTCCACCCACTGTTTAAGACCTTCAGTTAAAATGAAATGACCAACAAAGATATCTAAAACCTGAGGATTGTCCTGTATCTGCTTGTCACTTCAAAGGAGATCCAGACTGTGACTCTTCATATATGTGGTTCCAGAAGTGTTTGGATCTTATCAAGACAATTTATAGTCTTTATGCTAAGCTAAGTTAACCAGCTGATGGCTGCAGCTATATATTTACAGGAGAGGAATTGATCTTTCTATCTAACTCTTGGTAAAAAAGAAAATTAGTGTATTTTCTGTTTTCTTCTGTAAGACTTTCTTTATGTAGGTAATATTTAGGTAGTATTCAAGTATTTAGGCTACCAGTTTCACACCTTGTATAATATCCAATCTGTAGGCTATGATATTTTATTTGGATCAGGAAAACATGTTAATTCAGGTGTAAATGCCTGCTGTGTGATATTTGATTGGCCAGACCACATCTACACTTATTGCATTGTGATTAGCTCACAGCCAGGTGGAAAATATTGGCCAACAAGTTGAAAGGTCATCTTCTTGAGGCATCAACAAACAGCACTAAAATCAAGTGTGTCTTTAAAAGTTACAGACTTTTAAGTTCTAAATATATTGTTTTACCCCGATCAAACACAGCATTTGAACATCAATTCCAACTGCTAGAGCATAGTAGCTTAACTTTAGAATACATGATTGTAAAACCAATACAATGGCCATATGGCAGGTGAGTATTGTAGAAGAAAAGAAACTTGAAGGAAATCCCAAGTATCCATTAAAAATATTAAAACCAGCAAATATAGAACTAAACCAACATATTAACTTAAGATCATTAAAAACGGTTTCAAATGTGGCTCTGGGTTTATCAGACTGAAGACTGGAACGTACGGCATACGCAGCAACACACACTCTCTCTGTGTCCTGTAACCATCCATCTAAGTGTATCTTGTAGACAAAGAGATTACAGCAGAGTACATCTCTATGCTTGGAGACATATCTCACCTTCTGAGTGCCTGTATGTGTGTGTGAGAGAGAGATTGTGTGTGTGTGTGTTCCAGTAATCTCTCTCTCTCCTGGCTGTCACCGCCTGTCGACCTGCTGCCATGCTGTAATATGCGGACTGCTCCTTTATCTCTTGCATCACCGTCACCATCACTGTTATGATTTCTGCCTGTGTGTGTGTACGTGTGGATGTGTGTGATATTGCATAACTCAGGCGTGATAGATCACCCACTTAGCAGCAGTGGTGAAATATGTGAGCAGTGGATTTTTATCATCCCAGGCGTCAAGAGGAAACTTTACCCTCAGACACACAGACAGTGTTGCTGCTGACACATGTGGCAACCTGCAAGTCAAAGTGGTGGACTTAAATAGAAAAAGAATAACTGTCACTTAATGGTAGGTCTCATTAGCTTGGGAACCAGACAAATCTGCAAGCCCATGTTTTATTTGCTGTTGCAAATGCGTCTGGTCCCCCTCCCATTCAGACACATTTACACCAGTCCTGGATCTGGTCAGGCCAATCACAACCATTTATCTAATATGGGGCGGGTTTTGTACAATGACTGCAACTTTACTGTCCTTTCAGACATTTTTGTAAACAACCAAGATGGCTGCCGCTGTGTGGAACTGTTTCTGTTGACTCCACTATCACGTACAGGTACATTTTCACTAAAAGAAAAACAATCAACTGCACTTAAACTTCTGACGGGATTTAGTATGTTTAATTTACCAACTACGCTACAAAAAGCCCAGTTCAGACCAAAGATTTACAACAACATAAAACCATTAAAGAACTTTGCAGGGAAAGTTGCAGCAGTGTGAGCTGGCCCGTTGCTCAGCTTGCAAATTCAGCTGATCAAGTCAGTCACAAACTGTCAGCAGGTCGAAATGTCAAGGTTTTGGACGAAGGAAAGAATGGATCACCTTGTCAGTTT